GACAGGAAACTCTGATCTTGCATCCATCCTGCGAGGTGGGGAGAGAATGGTCCCATTTTCTGGACTGCTAAGCCAAGGCGAAGAAAATACAGCTGGTCCTCGACTTACGACCAAAATCGAGATCGGTGTTTCCATCGCTAAGTGAAGCATTTAAGGGAGTCGTATACTACATCTGCTTCCCTGCCCAAGCCCTGGTATGTGATCCCCACCTTCCCGATGCGATTATAGATCGTCCTCGATTTAACGACCACAATGGAGACTGGAATTTCCGTTGCTAAGCGAGGCGGTTGTTAAGGGAGCCTGATTTTACAATCTATTTATTTTTTTTGGCCACGGTTGTTAAGTGAATCACATGGTCGTTGAGCAAATCCGGCTTCTCCCACTGACTTTGTCAGAAGCTGGCTAGGAATATCACGAAAGGCGGTTGCGTGATCCCATACGTGGGTCGTAAGTGCAAGAACTGGTCGTAAATCACTTTTTTCCAATGTTAACCTCATATGGTCACTAAGCGAACAATTGTAAGTCAAGGACTACCTGAGTTCTGGACGGCTGGCCATCCCAACTTCCGCTTTTGAGGAGAGGATCAAGGAGATCCCTTCCTGCACTGGCCTACCTGGTCAGGTTGTTGTTAAGACTTTCAGGGGTGATGATGACCTTGTCTGGGAAGACAAACTCACCCCCAAACACCATCATCCTCACCGTCTTCATGACCCCCACCAAGTATCAGCAATTAATTAATCAGTAATTATTACGGTCAGTCCTCAACTTACGACCACAATGTTGCTAAGCGAGATGGTCGTTAAGTGAGTTTTGCCCCATTTTACGACCTTTCTTGCCACCCTTCTTAAATGAATCCCTGCGGTGGTTCAGTGAGTCACACGGTTGTTAAGCGAATCAGGCTTCCCCATGGACTTTGCTTTTCAGAAGGTCGCAAAAGGGAATCGTGACCCCGGGACACTGCAACCGTCATAAACACGAGTCCTTTTGCCAAGCGTCTGAATTTTGATCTTGTGACAACGGGGACGCTGCAACGGTCGTAGGTGTGAAAAACGGCCATAAATCTCTCTTTTTCCCCTTGCCGTTGCAACTTGGAACGGTCGCTGAATAAACTGCAATGAATTAATTTATCTCTAAATAAACTGTTGCAGATTGTGTTCGATCCTAGGTAGAAGCAGATATCTCTCTCTCTGGGCACACTGAGAATATATCTGCTGAACAAAACTCCGCATTGGTGACAGGAAAGGCATCCGGCCATTAAAAAACACTCTGCTAGCTCCATTCAGTTGCCCAGACTCCACTCAACAAGGGATTATGGGGTTGTTGTTGATGATGATGATATTGAGGACTATCTGCAGTTAATTAATTCATCCCTACACAAATTGTTGCAATTCAAGGACTATTTGCAATCAATCAATCTCTAAATAAACTCTCGAAAATTGAGGACTCCCTGCAATCCATTAATTCATCCCTAAATGAACTTGTTGCAAGTCGAAGATTATCTGCAATCAATCAATTCATGTCTAAATATATTGTTGTATACTGAGGACTACCTAAAACTGATTAATCCATCCCTAAATGAACTGTTGTAAAATTGAGGTCTATTTGCAATGAATTAATTCATCTCTAAATAAAGTGTTGTAAATGGAGGACTATGTGCCATCAATTAATTCGTCCCTAAACGAACTTGTAAATTGAGGACTACCTAAAACTGGTTAATTCATCCCTAAACGAACTATTGCAATTGGAGGACTATATGCAATTAATTAATTCATCCCTAAATGAACTGTTGCAATTCAAGGACTATCTGCAATGAATTAATTCATCCCTAAGCCAATTTGTTGAAAATTGAGGACTACCTCCAATCAATGAATTCATCCCTAAACCGTTGTAAGTTGAAGACTATCAGCAATCGAATAAGTCATTCCTAAACAAACTGTTGTAATTCGAGGACTATCTGGAATCAATTAATCTTTAAATAAACTGTTGAAAATTGAGGACTCCTTCCAATCGATCAATTCATCTCTAAACGAATTGTTGCAATTGGAGGACTACCTAAAATCGATTAATTCATCCCTAAACTAAGTATTGCAATTTGAGGACTACCTGTGATGAATTAATTCATCTCTAAATAAACGGTTGTATATTCAGGATGATTTACAATCAATTACTCTTGAAATAAACACTTGTAGATTGAGGACTTTCTGCAATTAATTAATTCATCCCTAATCCAATTTGCTGAAAATTAAGGACTACCTCTAATCAATGAATTCATCCCTAAACTGTTGCAAGTTGAGGGTTATCTGCAATCAATTAATTCATCTCTAAATAAACAGTATATTGAGGGCTCCCTAAAATCGATTCATTCATCCCTAAACTGTTGCAATTCAAGGACTACCTTTAATTGATTCATCCCCAAATAAACTGTTGAAAATTGAGGACTCCTTGCAATCCACAAATTCATCTCTAAACGAAGTATTGAAATTCGAGGACGATCTGCAATCAATTAATTCATCCCCAAATAAAGGGTTGTATATTGAGGGCTCCCTAAAATCGATTCATTCACCCCTAAAAGGGTTGCAAATTCGAGGACTATCCCTTAAATAACACTTCTTGTATTATATATATATATATATCGAGGGCTCCCTGCAATCAATTTACATCATTCACACACCCTTAAAACGAAGGGTTGCAATTCGAGGACTGCCTCAAAGTCAAACCCTTGATTCAATCCATTCCCCTAACTGGAGATCGATGGAATCCCCAATGATGATGATGATAATGAAGATGATTGATGATGATTGATCAGAATGATTGATGATTGATCAGGATGATTGATGAGGATGAGGAGGAGGATTGATGAGGATGAGGATGATTGACCAGGATGAGGATTGATGATTGATGATGATGATGAAGAGGAAGAGGAGGATTGATGAGGATGAGGATGATTGATGATGATTATGATTGATTGAGGAGGAGGAGGAGGATTGATGAGGATGAGGATGATTGACCAGGATGAGGATTGATGATTGATGAGGATGATTGATGATGATGAGGAGGAGGAGGAGGAGGATTGATGATGAGGAGAAGGATTGAGGAGGAGGAGGAGGATTAATGAGGAGGAGGATGAAGAATGAGGAGGAGGAGGAGGATTGAGGAGGATGAGGAGGATGAGGATTGATCAGGAGGAGGATTGATTGATAAGGAGGATTGAGGAGGAGGAGGATGAAGATGAGGTTGAGGATGATTGATGAGGATGATTGATGAGGATGAGGATTGATGAGGAGGATGAGGATGATTGCTGATGAGGATGATTGATTGATGAGGATGAGGAGGATTGATGAGGATGAGGAGGATGAGGATTGATCAGGATGAGGATTGATTGATAAGGATGATGATTGATGATGAGGAGGATGAAGATGAGGAGGAGGAGGATTGGTGAGGGTGATGATGATTGATGAGGATGATTGATGAGGATGAGGATTGATTGATGAGGATGATGAGGATGATTGAGGATGAGGATTGAGGATGATGAGGATTGATGAGGATGAGGAGGATGAGGATGATCAGGATGATGATTGATTGATAAGGAGGATTGATGATGATGATGAGGAGGAGGAGGATTAATGAGGATGAGAAGGATTGATGAGGAGGATTGATGATTGATGATTGATGAGGATGATTGATAAGGATGAGGATGATTGATTGATGAGGATGAGGATAATTGATGAGGATGAGGATTGCTGATGAGGATGATTGCTGATGAGGATGATTGATTGATGAGGAGGATGAGGATGAGGATGATTGCTGATGAGAATGATTGAGGAGGATGAGGAGGATTGAGGAGGATGGAGAGGAGGATGAGGATTGATCAGGATGAGGATTGATCGATAAGGATGATTGATGAGGAGGATGAGGATGAAGATGATGATGAGGAGCATGGATGAGGAGGAGGATGGATGAGGATGATTGCTGATGAGGATGATTGATTGATGAGGATGAGGATGAGGAGAGATAATGATGAGGAGGAGGATTGAGGATTGATGAGGATGATTGATTGAGAGGAGGAGGAGGATGAGGATGATTGCTGATGAGAATGATTGAGGAGGATGAGGAGGATTGAGGAGGATGAGGATTGATCAGGATGAGGATTGATCGATAAGGATGATTGATGAGGAGGATGAGGATGAAGATGAGGAGGAGGAGCATGGATGAGGAGGAGGATGGATGAGGATGATTGCTGATGAGGATGATTGATTGATGAGGTTAAGGATGAGGAGGATGATTGAGGATTGATGAGGATGATTGATGAGGATGAGGAGGATTGAGGAGGATGAGGATGGATTGATCAGGATGAGGATTGATCGATAAGGATGATTGATGAGGAGGATGAGGATGAGATGAGGAGGAGGAACATGGATGAGGAGGAGGATGGATGAGGATGATTGATTGATGAGGATGAGGATGATTGCTGATGAGAGTGATTGATGAGGATGAGGAGGATTGAGGAGGGGATGAAGAGGAGGATGAGGATTGATCAGGATGAGGATTGATCGATAAGGATGATTGATGAGGAGGATGAGGATGAAGACGAGGAGGAGGAACATGGATGAGGAGGAGGATGGATGAGGATGATTGATTGATGAGGATGAGGATGAGGAGGATGATTGCTGAGGATGAGGATGATTGCTGATGAGGATGATTGATTGATTGAGGATATGGAGGAGGAGGATGGACTCTGGCCCGGAAACTCCTTGGACTGCATTTCCCAGCCTGCCTATTACAAAAAAAAAAAAAAAAAAAAAAAATTGCACCTGCCGAGCACTTAGCTCCTCCTCGCCCGCCTCCGCTTTGGGTGTGCGCGCAAACTGGGGCCCGCGGGGACGCGCGCGCGCGCCTCTCCGTCTGTCTGTGCGTGTGTGTGTGTGTGTGTGTAATGTGTGGTGTGTGCCAGAAGGGAGGGAGGGGAGGGAGGGAGGGAGGCGCGAGGGAGGGAAGGAGGGAGAGGAGAGAGAGAGAGAGAGAGAGGCGGAGGGCTGAATTGATTATTCCATTGTGTTGGAAGGCAGCCGCCAGGTCCGCGGAGCGAGGGAGGAACGAGGCAGGCTGGGAGGCGGACGAGTGTAAATCAATGGGAAGCCCCGGCGCGGCGAACCCCATCGATTTTTGCCTGCCTGAAGCCGAGGCGAGCCAAGGAAGCGGCGGCGGGGAGGAGGAGGAGGAAGGAAGGAAGGAAGGAAGGAAGGAGAGAAAGAAAGAAAGAAAAAAAAAGAAAGAAAGAGAAAGAGAGAAAGAAAAAAAAAGAAAAAAAAAAGACAGAAAGAGAAAGAAAGAAAAAAAAAAAAAAAAGAAGGGAGCCAAGCTTGCTCTGGCGCCCCCTCCTCCGCAAAGCCCCACCGCCCACCCCGGCGGCCAGGAACGTCAGCGGCGCCTGCTGGTCCCCGCTCTCTTCCCGCGGAGGTGTAAGTGGCATCGATTTCCTATCCTTTCCAGCCCTGGCAGCCGAGCCCAGCCAGCCAGCCAGCTAGCTGGAGCGCAAGAGGAGGAGGAGGAGGAGGAGGAGGAGGGATAGAGGGAAGGAGGAGGAGGAGGAGAGGAGGAGGTGGAGAGCGGGATGGGCAGAGCGAAAGCAGCCAGGGAGAAGGAGGAGGGGAGCAGGCAGGCAGTCTGTGTGCCCACCAAACTGCCAACCCTTGCCAGCCAGCCCCTGGCAAAGTGGAAGGGAGAAAAGGAAGGAAGGGGGAAGGGGAAAAAAAGAAAAAGAAAAAGGCAAAGAAGGAAGGAAGGAAGGAAGGAGGGAGGAATGGGGAAGGCAGGTGGAGAAAGGGGATAAAGAAATGAATGCGGAGGTGGGGGGGCAGGGAAAAAAAAGGGGAGAGAGAGAGGGGGGGGGGAGGCGAGGATGGATGGTTGGAAGGAAGGAAGGAAGGAAGGAGGAGGGAGGAAGAAAGGCAAGGAGGCAGGCAGGCAGGAAGAAGAGGCGGGGAAGGAAGGGAGAGGAGAGGAGGAAGGGAGGACGGGAGGAGAGAGAGAAAGGGAAGGGAGGGAGGAAAAAGAGAGGGAAGGAGGGAGGGAAGGAAGGAAGGAAGGGAGAAAGAGGGAGAGAAAGAGAAGAGGGAAGGAAGGGAGGGAAAAAGAGGGAGAAGGAGGGAGAAGAAGGAAAGGAGGGAGGGAAGGAAGGAAAAAAGGGAGAAAGAGGGAGAGAAACAGAAGAATGAAAGGAGGGAAGGAAGGAAGGGAAGGAAGGAAGGAAGGGAGCTGTGAGCTGCTGCTGTTGTGGGCGCAAATTCCTGCCGCGGAGAGACCCTAGCGGGAGGGGGGGGGACCCGGGGGGCAGCCGCCGGGGGGGGAAGAAAGAAGGCTTGACGGAGGGCGACCCTAACTACCCCGAGAGAGCGGCAGAGAGGGGAACGAGGGTCGCGGATGTGACAGTGACAGCCCAGGTTGTGGGGTAGAGTGCCCCGAGGCTGGAGGAGCGATGAAGAGGGGGGGTGTTTCCCAAAATTAGGGTCTCCCTCTGTGTTAAGACTACGGGGTACGGAGTAGAAACCCCCCCCCATTTATCTGGGAAAGGTGGCAAGACCCCCGCCCCACATCCAGGAACAGGTGGGGGGTGGGCCGCTCCCCTGCCCCCTTTTAGAAGCGGCCTTGGCTTAACCCCCCCCTCCATTTCCAATTCCAGGCCCCCCCTTCTCCCAGCTCTTCATGCCCCCCCCTGCAAAGAACCCCTGGCTCAGCATCGCTGACCCCGTTCCTGGCACCGGTTGACACCTACCGACCCCAAATTTATGTCTGGCCTTGTCTTCCTCGTCCTCTTACCAGCCTCTCTGGTGGTGGGTGGTGGGGGGACGATCTGGGCCCATCAGGTGCCCCCGAATCTCCATTCCCCCAATCCGGGGCTTCCTTCATCCTCCACCTCCCTGACAGCAGACGAGACAGGATGATGGAAGGACTGAGAAAGACCCCTTTGGCGGAGGTGTGAACGGCAGGAGAGGCTTCGGGTGGTGGTGGTGGTGATGGAGGCAGCTCATATTTTCCTCTCCGCGACAGCCTGCCGACACCCGGGGCTCCCTTAGCAACTCGTTTCATTGATTTTACAATCTTTCTTCCCTCTTTTTCCTCCCTCCCTTCCTTTCCTCTTTTCCGCTCCCCTTTTCTGACCTCGGTTTCCTCCTCCCATGCTGAGTTCACCTGGCGAACTGTCAATGGGGGTGATGGGGGGGGGGCGGGGAGAGAATGGCAGAAGGGGGAAACCCCAGCAAAAGTGAGCCGACAGGTTTCGTGTGTTTGGCTTGGCAGCTTTCGAACTCGGCATCCTGACCTCTCCAGAGGGAAGCGAGGTTGGATACCTTTGGCTCTCTCTCTCTCGTCTCTTTTGTTTTTGACGGACTTTGGAGACTGACCGGGTCAGTGGGTCAGCTTAAATCTGGGTGGTTGGCCAGATTTCTCCTTCAAAATTAGCCCCGGAAACAAGAGTGGAGGAATTGGCACTCTGCACATGCTCGGGGAGACGGTTGACTTTGCTGTTCTTATTTTCTGATATTTACACTGGGCGACGTATCGGCGTTTTTAAGGCCCGTTGTATGGAACAAGCTGCATTTCCTGCGAAAGTCTTTTGAGAGAGGGGAAAAAAAGGGGGAAACTGAGTCAGAGAGCCTCCAGCGAGAGGCTTTTCCTGGATTTTTGAGATCTGGCGAGGGGGATCGGGAAAGGCCCCGAAAATCTGTAACCTGGGGGGGGGGGTTAGTTAGGGATAAAAAAAAAAATGCTGAAAAAATGTGCATTTTTCCCAAACTTTGCAAAAGGCGAGAACAATAACAACCACCCAAAAATATAATAATAAATTTAAAAAAAAATCCGTGTGAGATTTGCCAGATTCCTGCCGGGTTAGGAAATCTCATTTCCGCGGATTCCTCCAAATTTTTGCAAGGGAAGGGGGAAAAAAAACAAAACAAAACAAAACAAAACAAAAATCAGTTTTTGAGCATTGCAGATTTCCTGAATTAATTGGTTCGAATGAAGTGACCGAAATAAATTTCTCCCGTTGGGTTGGTTAAACAGCTCTCCGGCCGACTGGATCCCCTCGGCACGAGAAAACCTCGATCCTTTTGTCTTCGATCAGCCGGGCCTTGGCTTTGGCACGTCGTCTGTTGTCTTCCCCTGGCCGGTTAAAGGTGCCGAAGGATCCTTTCCCCCCCCCTCTCCTAATTCTTAAAAAAACAAGGCCTGGTTGAAAAAATTATCTTTAAAATCGGCTTTATTTTCGAACTGGGCCGTTTCGTAGAACGGAAAGGTAGGCTGAGGTCAGGTGAGGGGGGGGCGGGTTGGAGTACCACATGCCATTATAGCAGCCATACAAAGCGATCTCGAGACAATGCGTCTTTTGCACAAAGGGTGGCCGTGTCACACAATTATGGGAAATAATCGCAATTTCCTTCGAAAGGCTGGAAGAGGGAGACATTTTCAGGCGAGGGCGAAGCGTTCGAAGCGAGGCCCGGTTTGCAAATTTCTCGTCCGATTTGTCCTTTTTTTGAGGGGACGGGGAACGGTCTTGGCGTTACGAGCATCCTAGGCCGAACGTTCTGTTGTTTCCTCTGAGGGGATTGCTCGGTTAATATTTTGATTTTTCTCACCTTCGCCAAACAAATCAGCCCGCGAATCCGAAACTTGCCCTTTTTCTCGTTCGTACGGACAAGTTCACACACCTACGAACGAAATACACGATCCAACCGGATTCTTCAACCGTCCTGAGCTGTCACACAGCCTCGACGAATGCCAATTATTTAACGGCGGAGGATGAGAGGTGTCGCTTGGGAGAAGTCACCAAATTCATAAAAAAAAAAAAAAGCTTGATACGCATTGTGCAATACTGATAGGAGAGAATTTGGGGTAGCTCGGGGTTGAACTGCGGGGCGCTCGGTCGTCTCTGAGCTTTGGGGGGTTTTTCTCGCGAGACGTTTCAGGGCCCAGCTAGGTAACAAAATCAGTGCTAGTAAGGGAGTGGGGTTAATGGAGAGGAGGGGGAGGAGGAGGAGAAGAAGGAGGATGAAGAAGAGAAGGAGGAAGACTGTGGGGTCCTTGGGACTCTCTGAGCTTGTTGGTTTTCTTGCAAGACGTTTCATGACCCAACTAGGTAGCAAAATCAGTGCTAGTAAGGGAGTGGGGTTAATGGAGAGGAGGAGGAGGAGGAGAAAGGAGAAGAGAAGGAGGAAGACTGTGGGGTCCTTGGGACTCTCTGAGCTTGGTGGTTTTCTCGCAAGACGTTTCATGACCCAACTAGGTAACTACATCAGTGGGGGAGCGGGGTTTACGGAGAGGAAGAGGAGGAGGAAAAGGAACCATGTGGGGTCCTTGGTGCTCTCTGAGCTTGGCGGTTTTCTCACAGACGTTTCATCAGCAAACTAGGTAACATCATCAGTGCTAGAAGGGAATGAGGTTTATGGAGAGGAGGAGAAGGAGGATGACTGTGGGGCCTTGGTGCTCTCTGAATCCGGTGGTTTTCTCGCCGACGTTTCATGACCCAGCTAGGTTACCTATTCAGTGTTAGAAGGGAGTGGGGTTTGCAGAGTGGAGGAGAAGGGGAGGAAGAGAAGGCGAGAGGAGGACGAGGGTTGTGGGCCCTTGGTGCTCTCTGAGCCGGGCGGTGCCATGAACTGAGAATGTTACCTAGTATGGTCATGAAACGTCGGCGAGAAAAGCACCAAGCTCACAGAGCCGCAAGAATCCCTCAGCTAGTACAGCCTTAACCAGTGGTGGGATTCAGCCAGTTCACACCTATTCGGGAGAACCGGTTGTTAATTTTCTAAGCAGTTCAGAGAACCGGTTGTTGGAAGAAACCTTATTTTGTTTTTTTTCCACTTTACAGGGCTAATCCTGTAAGGAAGGCAGTAAGGAAACATTCTGGTGGTGTTTCTAGCCTAATCTTTATTGTCCTGTTTACAGAAACTGCCTCTCTGGTTAACCCTTATTACATTGTAACAGTAAGGTGAAGCGCCCATCGACGTGAGTGACGTTGAGTTGGCCACACCCACAGGGTCACATGACCACCGAGCCACACCCACCCAGCTGGTCATTAGGGCAGAGAACCGGTTGTTAAATTATTTGAATCCCACCACTGGCCTTAACGTATGACATCTGCTAACTCACGATCCCCAAGTGATGCATTCAGGAGAGGCGCTAAACTGAACCTCCACTCGCCGAGGCAGTCTACCGCCAAACACCAGATTAAAAGGCCAAAGCATCTCCAGAAAGCCGTCGCTACTCCGCTACAATAATTTAGACCGTCAAATTATTTGGCTTCCCACTGGATTAAGGAGGAGGGATCGGTAGCCACCCCAGATGTTGATGGAAGGAGATCTGTAGCTTTCCAGATGTTGATGGTTTTAAGAGAAAAGGGAGAACTAAAACAAAAACGAGAGTTGGAAAAGAAAAGGTTTGAGACAGATCGGTTTACACGATTGCA